TTTTGTTTTAAAACCTTAAATTCCACGTGTAAATTGCATTCCATTTTTCTTGAAATCACAAGGCTTTCGGCATGGCCACCTGCTCTTCCAATAATTGAACTTGGTGTTTGCTCAAGTTACTGATGCTTTCTAAATTCCAATGTCAACATCAAAATATTGGTATAAAATGCATGTTTCTGAGTTAATATGAAGTGATTTACAAAGAGTATACATTGTTGTTAAGACAGAGATTTTGCAAAGGGCACTTCCATCTGTCTCGCTCTGGAATCCATTGGGGAGACCAACAGCATCACAATGAAGTAAACCTTGCACACTGGAGCTAGGGAGCACCCTTTGTGCTTTCCTAAGCACACAAGCAAACATGGAACTCATGATACACTTATTCTGTCTGTTGGAAAACAACTTAGTTGTTGTTCTAGTTAATAAACCTAATGGGTAGAGTTATAGAAAATAAAGCAATTACAGTGGCTGAGAAAAACTCCTTAAAATTGAGGCCCAAACAATGACAGGTTAACTATGGAAGTGCAGTGAGGAACAACAGATAGAATAAACATGAGTGAATTTGGAAGTCTGTCTTTCTTATAAAGTTATCTGTGCAGTATTGCTCATCTCCAGCTCTGTATCAAATTCTGATTTCTGAAAATTGTTTTTAATTACAGCTGAACACAGGTAGAGTCTCTTCCACTCACCTTTAACCACAGTGGAGTTGAACATGCTGGAAGGTATGAGGGTGAGCAATTTGTTGTTCTTTTGTACACAAAGAGGCCATGAGTTGTAGTTGACTTGACAGGATTTATGTATCTACCTACCTCCCTACTTATATACATATCTATCTATCATCTATCTATCTATCATCTATCTAATCTATCATCAATCTATCTCATTCATTTCAACAGTCATATAATGTAGATATGTATATCTAATTTACAGATGAGGAAACAGGTTTAGAGAATTTAAGTGATTTGATCATCAACACCAAATTAATGGACTGAAAAGAAAGTTCATTACATTGTTTTGGAGTTATTTTATATTGATCCTAAAATTTTATGATGTGGCCTGCTATAGCTCTTTTCTTTTCTCTATCCAACTTTAAGTGAACAGGAACTGACAACACGGCTTCTGGGAAAGCCCTCAGATGTCCGCTTCTTACTCTGGAAGCACGGCCTTGAGAGAAATGTCGGGCATATGTTGCTGCAACAGGTCCCTGGCAATGACCATTTAAATTCACTTTCCTAACATTTTAATAGTAAAATGTATGGCCTGAAATAGTACCTACTTCAGAAGCCAAAGCAGTCCATCTTATCTGGACTAAAGAAATAATTGAAAACTGCAAGCCCTGACTGGAATTTGAGAGTGATAACAATATCTAGAAATAAGCTTTTTCTCTGCTTAGTTTTTTTATATTTATCTATTGATAGAAAAAAGTCTCAAATGTTGAGGACAAGAAAAATAAGTCTGTGTCACAATCTAAAATCTAGAAAAAGAACCAAGACGCATTTCTTAAGGAGACAAAAAACCCAATAACAACCTTTGTTTTTAAATACATTAGGGAGCGGGAAGAAATAGGGAGCTGTTATCAGGGGCTCAACTGGGAAGAAAATGCTTTGAAAATGATATTGGCAGCCTACGTGCAAATGGGCTTGATACACTGGAATGTGATAAGAGACCTAAGAGCCTCCAATAAAACATTTAATAAAAAAACAAAAAGAATTTTTTAATGAAAAGACTAAAATTGTGTCTTTAATGCCAATTTTACAATGAATACTGCAGAATTGTAGGTTGTGAAACACTCATCAGATTTCTCTGACTCCATCATTCTTCTTCTCTTCTGTACTAGATGAGTTCAATGATGCAATTTCCCGGTCCACACATCACGATGTTACCTCTTTGCCCCATGACCTACTCCTGAGTTTGGCTTTTGTGCCCTTGCCCGCTGGCTCACCCATCACACCTCGCAGATGAGAGAGAGCCTTGATCTTTCAGTCTGAACATGCCTCTCCACGAGGGCCGCAGGGGAGCCACAGAACCCACACAACAACTTCAGCCTTTCTCCACACTGCTAATGGCGTCTCATTAGTTCTTCCTTCTTTTAGAATGGATTCTTCCTCCCACTTAATTGCGAATTTAATGTGCACCCTCTCAGAGAGCTATATGTAAAACCTACTTTTGCCCATCATTTCCCCCTCAGGTTTCTCCAGCGTGATTTCATCTTTTTCTCTGCAGAGTCGCGAGCCGTGCTTTCCATTATTCTCAGGTCTCCGCAGTTTCAGGAGGCACTATGCAGTTCATTCAGTAGGAGATTGCCACAACCACCGTCATAGGGACTGATTTCTGGGTGTCATATTTGCACTTGTAATGTTTCTTTAATAAAAGTTGTTATGCCTCCTCTCTCTTAGCATTGATTTGTCTTCATTAATTGGTAGACAGGTTCTGAGTTAGTGAGGAGTCTATTTGACCAAACAATATGTTCAGTTTTCCGTTGAGTCAGTCCATTTATTGTTTTGCTTTCTTTCAATGTGATTGCATCTTTGACCTATTTTAATAGCAGAGACTATGAGGCATTTAAAAATGATATGTTTTTAATTTTCCTTCTAATGTGTGCTACAGGATAATGAATTAATATCTTAAAGTTCATTGCCTATTATGCAATGATCTTATGTTGCTCTTTTCAGGGCTCTTTCTTGCTCAGCTTGCATTTGCTTTGGGGGTTAGTCTGTAGGACCATTCCTCTCTTACCACTTTCTGTGTTCCTACTACAGCAGGAAAGCAAAACAAACAAACAACCAAAACAAACAAACTAACTAACTAAAAACAAATAAACAAGAAACCCTGTTCTTCCCGTTTCTCCATGGAACTATGGTTTTCCTTTCCCTGTGATTGCAGCCACAAAGCCTCCTAAAGCTCCCATCTCTAAAAGAAAAGCTGGAAAATCTTCAAGGCCCCAATCTCTTTTCTGAGGCATTGCTAGAGGATAAGTGCTCCTGGGGTGCTTCAAGGACCTAATATGGAAGACACCAAAGAAATAAGTCTGACTGGCTTAAGGCGGGCCCTGCCTTGGAACCTGTAGCCAGAAAAAGACTCAAGCCACTCTAGATTTGGTTTTGTTCATATGGGACAGATTGCTTACAGCATTAGGTAGGCAGAATCACACATTTGTGTACATCGTATCTTCCATTTAAAACATTTATTTACATTTCACTTAAAGCACTAGAAAGTCAGAAGGATACAGTAGAACATATATACCGGGCTTTGAGTGAATTTTCCTCACTACCTTCATGGTCTAGTACTACATGTAGCCGACAGTCGATGAAGCCGTTGGCCATACGCCTTTGCTTTCTTCCTGGGAATGAATGTTAGTGGCACTCAGTAGATGAAGAGCTTCCTTGGAGTGTTCAGTCCTCCCAACACACCCTCGGATTCCCCCTCTCGCCAGGTTAGGTTTAGATTCCAGACCTCAGAATTCCCTGACCCAAACCAAAGCCCACTTCTTGAATCATGAAGCCCTCTCACAGGTCCATCCCTCACAGGGAAAAGGGGCCAAACTATCAAACCAGTGTGTACCTGTAGATTCCATACATGACCTAATGACAGCTACGATTGGGGGAACGTGGAAGAAATGGAGTTTCAGCTTCTGGTGGCATGAAGGGTAAGAAGGGAAGGGATAGTGTGTATCCTGTATTTTGGTGTGAAAGTCCAAGACAGGTTTCTGTCACCAGAGGGTGTGGCACCGAAGAAGATGGTTGGTGACAGATCTTACTGTCCAATCTTGCAGAATTCCTCAGCTGCTTGGGGCGTGCAAGGCTCAGTAGCAACACAATCACCTGGAGAAGAAAGCAAATATGGTGCCATGTGCATGCGTGGACGCAGTGTCGCTGAAAGGCCGGTCTCCCCCTTCATATCATTCCCTTTTTCTGGAAGTGCATTGAATTTATAAAGTATACTTGGTGATATTGACATAGTCACGATGTTTAGTCTGCTTATCCGGTAGCTTGTTCC